TTTTTTTTTTTTTTTTTTTTTTTTTATTTATTTATTTATAAAAAAAGGATATTATGTAAATGTCCAATAAAAGTATCTGCAAAACATTGAGTGAATCTTTTAAATTTATACCCTAGAAGGGAATGAGAATAAAACATTCTCTAGATCACTACAAGTGGAGGGACCAACTGAAAGTCTCCCCACTTCCCTAAATGAGCTCAGCTCCAAGTAAAGTTCTAATTTTCTCTTGCAAATTTTTATGTTTAGAGTGGTTATCTAATTTTCTCTTGCAAAATTTTCAAGCTTGATGCGATTATCTTTTCAATTAAAAAAAAGCTGAAAGTTCACTTAGTATGTTGAAAAGATTTTTGCTTTACAATTAGTTACTGAGGTCTTGTCTTTTCTCTTTTATCTCAGATGGATGAGAAAAATATCCCAATTTACTGTTCTTCATTAGAAGGGCAACTTGCAAAGTTGGAAGTATTTGGCTCAAATGCATCCCAGCTTCTTGAAAAGTTTTTGCATCCTATGACACGGTAGAATCACATCTTGTCGTACTGTTATAGATGAATGCTATCCACAGTGATTAATAACTAACTTTACTCCTGCAGTGCTTCACAGAATCTTTGGCAGTTGAAAAAGCATTCCACTGGGGGTCCAGATGATAATTCTCATTTGAAGACATTGTTCAATCGCGAAAATGAGAATTACATTCCATCATATGGAATTGCATCCATCTCTTTGAAAGATCCTCGAATGCTACCGAATGAAAAGACTACAGACGTTCAAGATTCAACTTCAATGCATAACCCTGCTGATTCCTCAGCAATTCTTTCTGAAGATAGAGAAATTTCAAAAAGTAATGAAATGTTATCATCATCTTTGGATTCAAGAATTGACGAAAATGGTTTTTTACTTGAGAACAAGGAATTGTGGGATGCCAAAAGTGGAATGAGGGCCCCTGTGGAAGATACTGTTATTTGTGCAGCAAGACATCATACACGGATGAATCGCTTTTGCCTCGATGAACCGTCTGCAGAGATGGCGAAAGATCTGAGCTCATTGCAAAGCTCAAGTGCTTGTCCCACATTGCTTTTAAATGAGAATGACGAAAGCAGTACTCTTGTAAGGTAACCTCTTTTTCTTGATTCTGTGCATTCCACTGACATTGTTATTTAGGATAAGTAAGGAGTTTTGGGTTATTTTTCTGATTTCTGGTCGCTCAATGTCTACATGTTTGGTTTTTCTGATGATTAAACTAGTGCATTGTTTTGCCCTCTTATTCTATATGATTGTTCTCATTGAGTGTATATTCTTTTCGAAAACTTGTACTCAAAATCATATGAAGTGTTCTATTTTACTCGACATTCAACCTTTTTGACCATGTTCATCTCACAAGACTCAAGTTGATTCATCTTTCTGTTGTGTGTTTTCATGGATGATAATGAGGTGTGACGGCCGGTCTTCTAGGGAAATGTTTAACAATGGCAATGCATTTCTTCTTTGTATTTCAGATGGTCAATCATATTACCCGTAAGTTGGGTTAAGGCATTTTGGATTCCTCTAATATCTAGGGGGGCTCGGGCAATCGGTTTGAGAGAGAGACACTGGATTGCATGTGAAGTAAGAAATGTTCCAATAAAAGTTTTCTTCCGAATTATCCCCCAGTAGCAGAAATCACATATTTACTTACCTATATCTCCCTTCTCTTAACTTGTAGGTGGGATTGCCATCATTTCCTTGGGATTTCCCTGATTGTACTGCGTACTCGCGATTCATGACAAAAGAATCTACCGCAGTTGACAACAAAGCTGAGTGTTCTTCTTCCTTTTCAAGATCTTTTAGGGTTCCCATTCCACCCCCATGGCATAGTGTCCAGTTGACACTTAGCAAGGGACTTGATGGAGTGGAGAGCAATGGAGCTTGTACCGAGAAAAATATGGCTCTCACCGATTCATCATCGATATTTGATGATGCAAATTGTGAAACTGCAGTGGTTGGTGTTCACGATCAGAAATTGTTCAACGGAATCGTGGCTCGAACATCCTCTTCATTGTTTGAATTTTTTAGTGAAATAAACCTTGGGCATTTGCCTCTATTTCCTTGTGGACGAGATAAAAAGGCTAGAATTCTCAAGTATCTTAACAACAAAAGCACACTAGATCAGTCCAAAAGTAGTACCGACCGAATAAGTTATAGCAGCAAATCATGTTTCCTTAGAGTGATTCTCCGCGCTTATAAGAAAGGTGCGTTTGAAGAGGGAGCTGTTATTTGTGCTCCCAAGTCAGCTGATCTATCTTTGTGGACTTCAAGGTGATTTATCTTTTCATTTCTTTGTTAAAATGTTGCAAAAGTTTGGTACTTAACATTCATTCTATATGATCTTGCAGATCAGCAGACGACGAGAAAGCACTCCAAATCCCCGAATCTGCTGTAAGCCACTACTTCAAACTCAGAGAGCAGTCGCCCTCAATGTGGGAACTACAATTACCAGAAGATGCTGCTGCTGGAGAATCTCACAGGTGGCCCATCGGCTTCGTCACCACTGGATTCGTTCACGGAAGGTTCGGATACTTCGGTTATCTCAAAACATAGACTTCATATGTATAATAACACATCATTCTCTTCTTAGTTATGATATTTTGACATCACTCATGCAGCAAGAAGCCGGTTGCGGAGGGTCTTTGTGAAGCAACGTTACTAGCTCATCTTCGAGAGCAACAGTTCGACGGTATGTTTTCAAAAAAGAAAGAACAAATTTACGTGCTTGTTAGGAACTTAAGATCTTCAGCATACCGAGTTGCACTTGCTACTGTTATCCTTGAGCAGAAGGAAAATGATTTAGAATTTATGTAACTTAAGAATTGTAATGTTTTGGTTCATTCTTTGTAACATGTAGAAAATGTGGTATGGTGAAATATCATTGTATTTTTATATAGTTTCTGGGTGAGCTTAATTAGCTTCAGGTAATGAAATGTAACCAATGAATTGTCCAATCATTGATGTGTTTTCTGTAAAGAGTACAAAAATCAATGGGAATCTAAGTCTCTGGTGGATTAGGGCAGAGATATCACTGTCTTCCCAGAAGACGAGAAAATGTATATCTGTTCATAAAATGGACCAATAATGGTTAAAAAGGAAGCATGGGATTAGAGAGAGAAGGCAAGCCATGGATTTACAGAAGAGAGAGAGAAGGCAAGCCATGGATTTACAGAAGAGAGAGAAAAGTGAAAGAGAAGAGACAGTGATGGCTGATTAGACAAATGGTAAAAGAAAAGTGTGCCATTTCCTGAATCACCAAAGCCNTTTTTTTTTTTTTTTTTTTTTTTTTTTATTCAGGAAGTTGAATCTCAAATTTTATAATTATAATATTTATTTCACCCCTTTGTTTTTTATATAGTTTTCTTTAAGTAAGTGCTGGCAAAATGTAGTGGTGCAGGTCAACCACAAATTGATTAAGAACAACTTCGTGACTGAGATTCAAGCCAAATGATTGAACCTAAGCTGACATAAAAACTCAAAAAAAAAAAAAAAAATCAAATAGGTTCACAATTCGACCGTTGATCGTTATGAATATAACCAGTGAGGACCATTCTCTCATCTTGGATTCCTTTGAAAAAAAGGAGTACAAGGTGCGATTTCTTTTCGTTTTTTTGGTTAGTAAGATTCAAATGGTTTTTTTTATCTCAGAGATCTTATATATATTAGAAGCTTTAGGTGGCGGTCTCCTCAAATTCAGTTTTTAATAAGTTACTTAAGTTCCATTTTTGTTATCTTAATACAATCCAAAAAATACATTAAAAAAAGAGTTTAAATGAAACTAAAAAAATCGACCTTTCACCCTTTTGGTCAATTTCGAGCATAAACTCTGAGAATAATTGTAAATCAATTTAGTTCAACTTTAATTATAATAATTTAATTTTTTAGTCTTAAGAAGTTTTATATAACACTTTTATTAAATCATTAAAAAAAAAATGGCAATACTTTGACGGTTAAATTATAAAAAATATATATATTTCAAATATTTGGATGCCTTAATCTAGATTAAGACTGTAAATTATAATAAAGTGATTTTTAATCTAAGTGAATTAAAAATTTCATAAATTCATAATAAAATGATCAGAGAAAATAGAAAACAGTAATGTCCCACATCTTTTCATTTTGTGAAGCCCTATTTTGTTGTGTCCTTAGGACATGCGTTGTAACATGAAATAGTGGTTGACTGTCTTGTCTTTTCATCTTTAAATAAATTATCATTGACTTGCTTTTCTTTGTATTTTTCTTCTACTCCTTCAATTGTAATTTTAATTTCACCCCCCTCAACTAGAGGTTAATAATGGTAACAATAAATTGAAATTATCTTCCCATGTCAATCCGAGTTGTGAAAGATGCTCGAGTGACTCAACTACCACGACTACTCACTAATAATTAAGTTAGAAGAGTTAAACATGCGATTCAAAGCCTTCAAGAAGAACGTTATTCTTAACAAGATAGATAAGAACGTTTTCACTAATATTAAATGTTCTCAATAATAACCCACGTGATGAAGTACTCGTTTTCGATCCCGAACACATACCAACTCAATGAGAAAGGTTAAAACAACCATAGGTTTTGCACCACATTCGTTCAATATTTGTATCAAGAGTGAATAGAGTAGTAACCATTTCAATTCTTTTAGGTATTATTTAGCTATCTTATACTCGGAATCTTCCTCATTCGAATATGATTTAGTTCATTCATATATCATTTCTTTACTCGGGTGTCACATGCCCACTAACATCCATCTTAGTTCCTACCCGAACTACATTTTAATAGGAGAAATACTTTTTTATACCATTTGTAACGATCTATACCCAGAATTCAATCATTTCAATCTTTTTTAAAATCAAGACATTGGGTTTGATTGGACAAGTTTGCTTCGTTCTTTTGGGAACAAATGAAAAGGGCAAAAAGTTTGTCACAACGTAAATATCAAAAGCAAACCTTATCAACTTTTACACCTTCTTTTCTATATCAGTTGAGCTATGCTAATATTGACAGAGATGAAATTAGGGTTTTCCATAAACAACACATGCACATCAACAAAACCCATCAAACTTTCACTTAAAACCTCCAATTTCTTTATTTTTTCATACAACTCCCCAATTCTATCTAATTTCCCCTATAAAACCCCTTAATTCCCTTCAAACCTCTCACTCCATCCCTCTCTCTCATGGCGGTTCTTCTTCTTCTTCTTCTTCTTCTTCTTCTTCTCAGAACCCTGGTTCGAAATTTGAAGGCTTCCCAGGCCTTCCATGGCTATGGAACTTACAACCAAGCTCCATATCTGAATTGGGTCGTGCAAAGTTTGAAATTTTAGGCGTAAAAGAGGGAGCTTTCTTTAGTCCACTAATGGGAGGCGGTGAGATTCAATTAGCTGCTGACTCATTCATCCAAATATTGAGTTCAAAATGGCTCATTAAATGAGTGAATGACGCAGGAGACAGATTGAATCTTAAACCTTCCTTTCTTGGACTGAAGGGAGCTCCCTCAATCTTCCCTTCTCCATTCTTTATTTATTAATTTTTTTGTGTGTAGCTGATACAGGCACGGCGGAGGACGGCGGTGGTGAATTAGGGTTTCAGAGAAAGATGGTGGAGAATGAACTGGTGGTGGTGGTACACGCATTACGACAACTCGGCTTTCGACATTGCCCTCATGGCTGCAGCAACAAGTTCCTAGACATGTCTCCTTTTCACTTCACTCTTATTTACCATTCTGCCCTCCCTATTCCCTTTTCGTCTTTTTATATATGTATTTAATTTTAATTATCGAAATATTATTGTTGTTAAATTTTACATTATATATAATAAAACATTTTTATATTCATACATTTTAAATTATAAAAGATAAAATATTTAATAAGAGGAAGGGGTAATGTTGGAAAGTACATTTTTCTCGAAAATGAATAAAATAAAATAAAAAAATCCCACGCACAGGTTAAGTACAAATTCTTGTGTTTAATTAGTTTAATAATCTTATGAGAAACAAATCCGGTTGTTTTTCATCCCAAGATTTGGATTTATCCTCTTTAATTATTTAATATATTGATATTTATTTATTTATTTATTTTTGGAAACAATAGTTGTAGTGTACTTGAAACGAAATCTTATTATAAAAATTAGTTTTTAATCTAATTTTTAATTTTTATAATATTTTTTGAGAACGCTTAGTCTTTAAATTTTTAAAATTACGAGGCGAGTGAAAATTATTATATAAATTAATACAAATTCTTTCAGTATATCAATTTACTTTCTTTTATATACTTTTTAATTAATATATAATTTTAAGATTTGGTTTATTTAATTTGGAGGGAAGGGTACTTTGATAATTTGAATTATATCAATTAATAAAAAAGTGTATTTTTCAAAAAAAAAAAAAAAAAAAAAAAAAAAAA